ATCATGCCTCACTTATGAAGAGTAGAAATGTACTGACAGGTGTCCAAGATCAAAGAGGAATGGCATCTGGAGGTTCTCAAAATGGTTTAAAGGGATGGGGAGATAGTTCAGTGAGTAAAAGTGCTTGCCTCAGAAGCATGAAGGCCTGAGCTTGAATCCCTAGTTCCCAATGTAAAAAGGCAGTTGGGGACTGGAGAGATGTCTCAGCAGTTAAGAACACTGGCTGTTCTTGCAGAAGACCCGGGTTTGAATCCCAGCACCCACATGGCAGCTAACAACTGTCCGTAACTCCAGTTCCAGGGGATCTGACAGCTTCTTCTGCTCTCCGTGGGCATTGCACGACACGGGCGCACTTCCGTACATGCAGGCAACACACATATAAAAAATAATAAATAAAAATATTTAAAAAATTTTTTAAAAAAGGCAGTTGGCTATGGACATGCTGCCTGTAACCTCAGCACTCTAGGGAGCAGAGACAGGAGGATAACTGGGCCTTGCTGCCAGCCAGCATAGCCAAAATAGTGAGCTCCAGGTCAGTGAGAGACCATGTCTCAAGAGAATAGTGTGATAGAGCAGGATACTCCACGTCCTCCTCTGCATAGGTATGCGCGCGCGCGCGCGCACACACACACACACACACACACACACCAGTTTAGACAAAAAGAGACATTTGCCTTTGGAATTATTTCAAAATAAAAAAGAGAGACATGATACAAAAATAGAGTACCATCACAGAAAACCCCCCACAAAAGCCAGTGTCTAAATGTCACCAGAGAAACAGAGATTGAGATTTCTATGAGCTGTTGTTTAGCTGGTGCCAGGGATTGAAAACGCTGATACTGCCTAGTGGAGGAATGAGGTACTTGCTTTGGTTCTGGGTAGAGCTGACTGCAGGTTTTGGAGTGCAGTTTGGTAGTACTTATCAGAATTTTGATTTACATAGTTTTTGACTCAGGAATTCCACCTTAAGGAATTTCACCTGCAAAATATACATATTGAATGCAATATTGGTCATAACAAAAATGTGAAAAGTATATAAAGTAGTATCCGAGAATCGAGTCAATTATGAAGTAACCACATAATAAACATATAGTCGTTAGAGGTAAAATGTGCACTGCTCCAGTATTCACATATCTAACCTGTCATTTGTGATGCCACTTACAAAAGTTGTATGTAGTATAAATCCCCTATATTTAAAGTACAAATTTGCAGATTATGTAAAAGTAGATCTTTTACTCTTAGTGTATCTCTGCCACGGTCAGAAAATTTTTATGAGAATGGAGAAAAGTTGGAGCACTTGCTCCTGGATGGGTGTGACCCTGGGTGTTATGCCAGGCGAGGATTCTGTGACCATTTTGTGCTTTTCAGCAACATTTGAACGAGCTGATGACAAAGAAGTGGCTGTTAGGGTCAAATGCTGTGGACATCATCTGCGTCACTGTAGAGGACTACTTCAATGATTTTGCCAAAATTAAAAAGCCGTATAAAAAGGTAAGCACATAGGTTAAAGTACGCTGGAGCCTAACTCCCATCTGGTTTAGAATTAAGTGTCAAATCATCTCACTGATTATAATCACTGTTGCCAAAGGAGGAAGGGGGTGCCCATGTTCATGTGGTCTAAAGAAGGTGAGGTAGAGAGCTTGGGTGAAAATTGGAGTGTTCAATTCTAACCCCTGCTGTATCTCCACTATCCTCCACTGATGAGCAGGGAGAAAACATGCTACAGATCCCCCCTCCCCCCACCCCCATTAGGCTCTTAGCAGCACCAATAACCCCTAGAAAAGGGGAAGAATGGGGACTATGAGAATGGTGAGAAACAGAGAACACCTCTCAGACCTCTAGTACATACCTTGTGTACTCTGGATTCTGGTTTGGTCACCCCCATAGTTCTTCCCTGCCTGAGCTTAGACTGACCAAGGTCCCACACAAGTTAACCTAGTCCAAGGATACCTAGGCTAGCTGCCCCCGGTTCCTTATTACCCTTCAAGGAGAGACAGTTTATTCTGATATTAAGAGAACATAAGGCTAGGAAATGTGCCCATTTAGCCCACACTGCCTTTGTGGGTGGCACATGCAATGGAGCCTGTGTGCAGTGTCAGTGTCATGTGGCAACTTCTTACTATGGCTTCCTCCCTTGCACACCATAAAGGAACACCTAAGCTGGCTTTTCCTTCCTCACTTTGTTGAGCATATGTGTTTTATTTTCTGTTATTTTACACAAGATAATGAGGTATGTCTCTAAATACAAACCTTAATGTCAAACCAAACAAATGACCACCCCGTGTCCTTAGTGTTACTTGAGTCTCACTTTGTTTTCCAACATTTGACATAAACAAAAGAGCAAAGGAGGAGGAAGGGAGGGAGGGGAAAAAAAGAAAAGAGATTTAGTTGAATGTGATGGTGTATGTCTCTAATATCAGTACTTGGGAAGGAGAGACAAGAGGATTGCTACACATTTAGGCCAGCCACAATTACATAGTAAGACCCTGTCTCAGAAAAACAAAACAAACAAAAGCTTTACTTAAAGAAATGATGCTTGTTAAAAGGTTTTGGAACACATCTTTCCTCTGGTTAAGGAAGAACCTATTCTTTGTTTCCTTTTTTTCTTTAATGTTTTTTGTTTTTGTTTTTTGGTTGTGTGTATGTGTGTGTGTGTGTGTGTGTGTGTGTGTGTGTGTGTGTGTATTAAAGAATTTTTAGTTACCCCAAGATCATGAAAATTACTTTGAAAGTCAGCTATAGACTTAGTCTTAAACAAAATGCTTACATTTTAATAGTTACATTTTCTTAAAAATATTTATTTTATGTGAGTGTAATACTTGCATGTACATAGGTGCATCTGTGTCATGCAGTACCCACAGGAGTCAGAAGAGGGTGTTGGATCCCCTGGAACTAGAGTTATTGATGGTTATTAGCCTCCGTGTGGGTGCTGGAAATCGAACCTGGGTCCTCTGAAAGAGCAGTCAGTGCTTTTAACCTCTGAGCCATCTCTCCAACCCTGTTTTTATTTCTAAAAATTGTCATAGCTTATTTTTCAAACTTACCCGTTTGTTGGTTGGTTGATTTTTAAAACGTTTTTGTTTGTACATTTCTTTTTCCTTTTTTTTCCTTCAAGCATTTGTATGTTAGTTTGTAAAGCTAGTAGTATCTGACAACCCTAGTCTGAAGTTTTCCGCCCATGTTGGAGCTTGTTGCCTTTGTCAGCTATTTCGATGGCTTCTCTCCTGGTATGCTTGTGACTTCTGATTTTGAGCCCATGTATAGATGATGGGTCTCAAGAAAGAAGTCTTTCATCCAGGGAGAATATGTATACCCAAGCATGTCTGAGTTCACTCTCAGCCTTCCCCTTTCCCTGCCTCCCATGCTGTCTATGGCTTGATTTGGCCAATGATGTGTCTTTGTCTTCCTTGAAGTGTTGTGGGATTCTTCCTGATGAGATGGTGTGCTCTCAGGCTCAGTGGTATATGTGTACCATCTTGTACCAGGGTCACTAGAGTACTCCATTCATGGGGAGCAGACCCCAGTGCAGAGGATACAGCCACCAGCCATCACAGATGTGGTTGCTCAACTGACGGACTGCAGTATCTCCTACAGTGGGTCTCCATCACCCACACAGAGAGAACCTGGCCCCTTCAACAAGCCAGCTTTCCTGCTAGTTCTACCCATGTTGGTTCCAGACCTTTTCCTTCCTTTACAATGCTCCAGAGGTTTCTTTTCTCATTTGAGTCTTTCCTGAAGATTCCCAAGATATTTAGTCTGTGGTTTTTTCCCTCCACTAATCTGAGGGTACCTGTGGGTAAAGTGGTGCAGTTTGGGCTTCATCTAAGCTGAGCTCCTCCTGTTGAACTTGTCAGCCCATGAGGCCAAGGCCAGTCTGGCTTGGGCGGTTCCCCCACTGCACCTCCACTTGGCTATGGGTTGAGAAGCTTAGGGGTAGTCAAAGAAAAGACTTGGAACCTCCAGTCGCGTTTCCCTGAGCTTAGGGGAGGGCATGTGTCAACTAAGTGCTGTGCTGGTGTTGCTTAGGGTCACTGAAGCTTATTCCTAGGTGACTTGGTGTCCACCTTTCTGCTTTCTAGATGGAATGTAAGCATCAAGGCTTCACCAGCCATATTTGGGCCCCTCCTTGACTCTGTGCACATGCTGTGCTGTAGACAGGCCTATCATAACTCCTTCTACCATGCACTTCTAGGAGAGTCTAAAAGCTTATGGTGAAATTCAGGTGTGCTTAACTAGCTTAATTAGTTTAAAATCCCACCAGTTGTATGGCCTGGAATGGTGGGTGACACACTTATAATCCCAGCACTCTGGAGGCTGTGGGTTTGAGGCCAGCATGGACTACATAGCAAAATCATGTCTCAGCGACTTGATGGAAATAGGAAGGATGTACACTTAAAGAGGGTGTCATATCTGCCAACACTAGGGAGCCTGCAGCTAACTACATGTTTTCTCCACAGAGGATGACGGCTGAGGCACACAGACGTGTGGTAGTGGAATATCTACGGGCTGTCATGCAGAAGCGTATCTCCTTTCGAAATGCTGAAGAGCGCAAGGAGGGTGCTGAGAAGATGGTCAGGGAGGCTGAGCAGCTCCGCTTTCTGTTCCGGAAGCTGGCATCTGTGAGTTGGGGGGCATGGGCTGAGCTTTCAGATGGTAGGTATTGGGGTATGGAGTTGCATTGTTCAGTGGCTTGCTTTTGGTTTCTATGCCTGGGATATTTAGGCTAGTTGATGGGTACCAGCAACATCAGGACCCAGCATCAGGCTAGTTTTCTCTATCAGGAGGAAGGTCTGGGTCCAAAGCCTGCCCAGCTTCATGATTAAGGAATGGATTTCCATGGAGACTGATGCTTTTGGAAGGCAATTCCCAAGCTTTTGGTGGCTTATGGGTGGCTTCATGGAGTGATATATCCCTTCCTGTCCCTGTACTCTCATCAGTTTGTTCTGTAAGATTCTTGTTGCCATCCAGTAACCTGACTCCATTGTTTAAGTTTGTGTGACTAGGTGCTCCTCACCTAAGGCTTTTCTCCTGACTAGTCAAGCATTCACCAAAGTTATTCATGAGACTGATACCTGTTCCTTGTTCAAGAGTGAATCTTGAAGTGTTTACATGTAAGAGCAAGTTGTATAGCCTGAAAGGGGTTTGAAGATGTCAGGATCAAGCTAAGACTCCTGCAGGAGATAGAGTTGAGGACTCACCTTCACCATGTTGCTGTTTTCCAGGGATTTGGTGAAGATGCAGATGGACACTGTGACACAATTGTCGCAGTGGCAGAAGTTATTAAGCTTACAGACCCCTCTCTGCTCTACTTAGAAGTTTCAACTCTGGTCAGCAAATATCCAGATATCAGGTAAGGCTGAACTTCTTTCCGTTAGAATTAATGGCACAACACATCATTCCTGCTGCCCTTAGGAAGATAAGGCATGAGCAGCAGGAGTCAGGCAGAGCATGGTTGCCAGCTGGATATGAGGAGGAAGGTAACTAGGGACATGGTGGTGAGGGTACAGCAGAGAGGCATCTTTGTAGTCTTCCATCTGCCCTTCCTGATGCTAGAGGAATCTGGCTGAGGCTCCTATACCTTCCTTGTGGCTAGACCTCCGTGCCTAAGTGAGTAGAAGTCAGAGAGCAAGTCTAGCTACACATTGCAGGTGGTGTTGGGAAGGACTAGGTATTACAGCTTTGATGAGTGGGCTGTGGAAGGTTAGGGTTATTGAAGTGGCCTGAAAGGTGATCTTAGGAAACTCCATGGTGGTCTAATGAAGGGAGCCAAAGGGAGTTGATATATCATGTCAGGATTTCCACATATGTGCACTTAGCGTTAGGTTGAGGGAAGAGGGCTCTGTTCCATGTCCCTCCACCTGCTGTGCTGGCTCCATGCCCCAGTCCCTGCCTTTGTGGCCACCTCCTCTAAGGGTCGAGCATGAACAGGCTGTCTCATTGCCACTGCTCCATTAAAGTTAGAAGAGTGGGAGTCTTAAACCAGGGTCACCCCTCTCTGGTTGTGCATTCTTGAAACCAAGAACTTCATTTAAAAAGTCCTTTGTATCTGTGAGTGGAGAAAAGGCTACAGTAAGATGAAACTTTAGGCTTCTCTCTTCTAAGAAAGGTGAGATGTGGCTGTCAGCACCCTACCCTGTGGGGGTTACCTGTAGAGACTGAGGGGGCTTGGAACTGAGAACAGATATAGGTTCATGTTGACTTCTCTCCCACAGAGATGACCACATTGGTGCACTACTGGCAGTGCGAGGTGATGCCAGCCGGGACATGAAGCAGACCATCATGGAGACACTGGAGCAGGGCCCCACGCAAGAAAACCCCAACTATGTGCCCATCTTCAAGGAGATTGTTGTGCCCAGTCTCAATGTGGCTAAACTCCTTAAGTAACCCAGTTATCACTCTGTGGCTTCCTGTTTGCACCCTAAGAAGCAAGTGTATTAAAGCATAAGTCACTCTCCAGGTACCCCATTTGATGTCAGCTACATATGCCTGTATTCTCTGGCACCATAGTATGTGGAGCAAGGTGCTATGGCATGAACACTGGAATCGTGAGTCTGTGGATTTTCTCACCCTGTCATGAAAATGCCTTGTGATAGCTTTTCTATGGCTATGAAACCCTCTTGGTTGCTTGGGAAAGGTATATGGCAGGCGCCCCTCAGTCTCCCCAGTTCAGTCTTGCTCTGTCTGGCAAACATACTTTGGACTTCTGCTACCTGATTAAAGCAAAGGAAAGCCAGGCAGCTTCTCATTCCCAGTTTCAGGACATTCTGATTGGTCATGATATAGCCATGTCCAGAAGCAATAGGAGGTCATCAGCTCTCAGCTGACCTATGAATAGTCCTGAGCAGTCTCTGGGGCCAGGTTCTGCCCTCGTCGTTCTGGCTGTTCTAGACCAGCTGCTTAGTCTTCTTCACCTGCTGAAACAGCTCCACCCAGGTGGGTAGGGTGCCACCCAGGTCAGTCATACTGGAAGGATGAGAAATGTCATAAGTATAAATTTTCATAAAAATGTATATGAAAATGAATGTTTGGAATGAGTCAATATCTGTATAACATACTTATGTGTGATCCAAAGTCCCTAAAATTCTCTCCCTAATTTAGCCATCTAACCTCAACCTTCAACTTTAAGTTAATTAAGAGGAGTATATTATATTATACTCAGGATAAACAGTGGTCCCTGTGTCTTGTGGGCTCTACATGTCTGTAGAGGGCAGCTGTTCACTTATTACCTGAGGGAGAGGTATTGCCTGAGTTTCCTTATGTACTCAGATGGTTTCTCTCCCCAGCCCCATTCTTGTTTCAGAGCCCCCATGAACTCCCTAAGTCAAATGGGAGGTGGAGGGCCTGGCGGGCCTGTCCTATCCTATGGGCCTGTACCACACGGCCACTCTTAATGTATAAATCAATGCTGTATTTTCTTTCTACTTTTGAAATGACAAGGTTGACCGTCTGCTTTTATGTCATTCTCTCAAGTTGTGAAAAATTTATAAATAACCCTTTCTCTAAGTGGAATTAAGTAAAAACTCCTCAGAGGCTTAGAGGAGACATGGCTTTCTCAGAAGGCCAGCTGGTATCATGTTGATCCAGTGCCGCCTGCTCGGCAGTCTGTTCAATGTTCATGACAAGTTGGCATTTCTTGTCGAATGTGCACTGAAAGTAACAACTGCTAGCTGCAACCCTGTAGTAACAAAGGTGCATGTGTCTCACTGAGATTTTTCATGGTGGTTATTGTCTAGAGTGGACATGTAGCTAATCACAGAATGCTTTTGTGGCTAAGCATTTAGCTGTCTGGCCCTGGAGGTCAACCGAAAACAGATAAAAGTATGTTCCTGAACATTCAATAGTGGGATTGTGGAGGTAGGATTGAGATGTTCTAGAAGTTAGGAGTAGCACTGTTCTGGTAGGTTGATAGTGTCCATTGTGACACCCAGAGAAGGTCATGGCTAGACCCCTTTGTAGAGGACACTTATGAATAGATTTGGGTAGGTTAATCCCAGTAAGGAGCTTGTGGCTGCCAGATGCTGTTTTCATCCTCCTTTCTTCATGTCTATTGATGCAGAGCTCAGGTTGGTGAGGCCCCCTCTGAAGGAAGAAAGAATGGGCATCCTGATCCTACCTCGGCAGACTGCCCAACTCTCTCCCTTACTGTGATGGACTGAATTGTGGTCAAACAAAGGTTGATGTTGTAACTTTAAGACCTTGCATGTGACTTTGGTTGGAATCATTGCAAGTGTAATGTATGTCAGCGTATTAAGTCAGATGGGAATAGCCTAAGTACTAAGTGGAGATGCTAGAGGAAGGCACCTATGTGGAGAAGGTTGGAGTGGTATGTATACAAGCCAAGGATGCCAGCAGTCCCTAAAGCCAAGAAGGGGCCAGAGAAGACTCTCCTGCCAGCCCCTGGACTCCAGACTCCTACTTCTACAGCATGAGACAGAGCTTAAGAGTCACCCAGTGTTTATTCTTTGCTAGTTCCTTGATACCTGCTTTGAGGTGGCTGTGAACTTACCAGTTAATACTCTTCTTATTAACAGCCAATATCTGGGGATTTTGTTTTGAAATACAACTTTTAAATTTTTATATATATAACCAGGCCTGCCTCTGCCTCCCTAGTGCTGGGATTAAAGGCATGTGCCACCACACCCAGCTAAAATAATATTTTTAATTTTTTTAAACCAAAAATGTTGCTGGAACTATTCAACCTCATGTTTGAATGGGTTCCTCTACACAGGGGTGGGCATGCAGCTCTGCCCACATCTGTCTCCCACTGTCCTCATCTCAACCCACAGAGACCTTCTTTGGCCACCAGGGTCTGGACTCTGTTGGACATACCCACCTCTTCTTCCTACTCATCCACTTTGTTGTCTCTAGCACCTCATGTTGTCTCTAGCACCAAGGTGTGGTGGCACATGCCTTTAATCCCAGCACTTGGGAGGCAGAGGCAGGCCTGGTTTTTTAGCACCTGATGGGGACATCAGGCATAGTGAGTGCTATTTCAACCACCCACATCTGAGTCTGTGAAGCCAGCTACAAGAGGTCTCTGACTTGTTCTCCATCTGACAGATGCTAAAAGTTGGGTGCTTTGCACAAAAGGGACTAGGCTGTGTCCAACAACTTCCCATGCCCATTAGGATGGCCTCAAAATCATACCGTCTCTTGATAATTTTAATGCATAACAAACTGACCCTTAAATTTTCCTGGATATGGCTTTTCACTTATAAACAAAAATTATACCCAGAATGCCTTGAAATGTTTTTAATAGAATTGGTCAAGCAGTCACTGCAGTTTTGCTGATGGACTCCCTGCATAGATGCTGTACAGTACATTGGAGGGGTATTTTAAATAAGGCACACAGTTTTCTGATCAGAATTAAACAAATTTGACTGATTATATTCACAACATTAATACACAATTTTCACTCAAAATACAATTCAATAGTTTTGATGAAATGCTTTAAATTTTTTTCCACAAAAGATCAGTAATACATAATATATTGAACACTGTAATAAAACTGTTTTCAAGAAAATACAGAACTGAGAAATACAAATTTCCTAAATTTGTGTACTTTGTAGTACCACAAAGGTCAAAGTTCAGTATTAAATAAATAGTCTCTCCTAATAAAAATTTTTTACAAGTTTTCCTAAGGAAATACATTCATGGGACTTTACATTCTGTTTTACAACAGTGACAGGAACAGCAGGGTCCTCAACTGTAACACAGTGTAGACATTGTGTCACTGGAGCACAGGAAATGGGTTTCTGCAAGCAAGGCTCCCCCTCAGATCTCTGGTTCCATGCGGCTGTGCCCAGAAGTGTGTTTCACAAGCCCAGAAGTCATGACCTGTACACAGCTAAAACAGAGTGTCAAAGGGTTTCACAGGTTCACCACCTGGCTGCTGGCTTTGGAATCTCTGTCCACTGCAAGCTGACAGCTACTGAGGCACTGTCCAATCAGACTTGGTCTCTGTTTCTGCAGTGGGAACTGGACCCTGTGTACAGCAGACCAGACAAGGTGTTAAGGCACTGTCCTGGCACAGGCAGGCATAAGGAACTTGGCCGCAGAGCAGGGACAGGTGCCTCTCAGATCACCCTGGTATAGTAGCCAGGCCCACCCTCCCTGAGAGGAGCTCTGGTGGAGCTTCAGAACTGTCTGGTGAGATTACTGGGAGCAGCAGTGCTGTGCAGTGGCTGAACTCTGGTCTTAGGGTTAAAATGCTGCAGGCCAGGAGAAGGGCCGTGAAAACCAGATCCTGGGCACCTGATGGCTGAGGCTGAGCTAGTCAGTCAAGGACGTAAACAGGTTCAGTTGGAGAGTGCTGCTCCTGAAGCAGTATATTGAACAAATACTCATTTCTCTCAGCTTAAGTTAACAGGAAATTGCCCACTCTTCCTATCCAACTGCAGCATTAATACAAATTGACAAACCCTCCTGTGACTCCTCTGAACATAACTGGCAACCTTGTTCCTGAGACACAAGGTTTAGCTTCCTGAGCAGAGACTTGAGTGTGGTTTGTTTCAGACAAGTCTCCAGGAGGTCCCCAAACCCATGTTTTAGTCCCATCTTGGTCTCCCTCAAATGTGACCCTGTGGTGCAGGCCAAGTTTTCAGTGGGCTGGAAGCAAAACTCAGGTGACTTGTGCCCAAAGGAGTTGAAGGGTGTTGGTGGCACACACTCAGGACCCACCCTCGGACCACTCTAGAGACGACACTCTGTCCACGGTGGAACCCCTGAAGTCTTGGAGACAGGGGCAAAAGCCGTCCAGACAGTGGGTTCCTAGCCCCTGGTGGCTCAGAGCCCTTCCATGTCCCTAGGCCATCTTCTAATTTCCTAGTCAAGTCGAGCCATCTGCAGTGTTCTCAGCAGTGGAGGGGACAGCTCAAGCCAGACACTTTGTAGGAGCCAGGCAAGGCCCAAGGTGGGGAAGAACAAGGTCTGGGCTGGAGGAGCTGAAGCAGGAACAAAGGTATCTGCAATTGAACCCACAAGCCACATGGTGGCAGGGCAGACTGGGAAACTAACTTGTGAGGGGACAGGAAAGGGTCAGAAAGGGCTTCGGTAGCAGTGGGCAAGTCCCTCTGAAGATGAACAAGAACCTGCTGGCCACCAGGGAAGAGGCAGGTCTGGGTGGTACCACTTGGACAAATCTTAGTTTTTGAGACTCGCATTTTCCCCAGAAGTGATGAGAGGTCCTCGCAGACACTTAACAGAGAAGTGCTACCGAAGCTCAAGATAGAGCACCTACCATACCTCCTCGGGCACGGCCCCAGCACCCGGGAAACATGGGGTTACCGGGCCTGGACCAGGGCAGGAAGACGGCCGGGGGCATCATGTGGACGTCCTGCAGAGGACTCGGACGGGAGGACCCCTCCTGGGGCAGGCTATGCAAAAGTCTCCCAGGGGGCCGGAGCGAACCGGAGCGGCCACCAGCAGGGCAGGTCACAGCGGAGTCTCCTCTTGTTCTAGCGCGTGCGGCGGCAGCTCTGTGGATCCCGGCAGAGACGCGAGCTTGAGCAGCGCAGGGCGGTGGCGCGCGCGAGGCCGCTGGAAGGAGCGACGGCTGTGCACGCGGCGCGCCGCCGCCGACCGCGCGTGCGCACTGGGCGGTGCCCGGCTCTCCAGCCCCGGCTCTTCCTGGGAGA